TAAAGCGTTGACCGTTACGGATCACTGCCATCTCACCTCTGTCTGCGTGAGTTCGAGTCCAGACTCGGCTAACGTGGGTACGTGAGAAAGCCTGCCAGTAGCTACTAGTGGGTCGGTGGTTCTTCCCGGGGTTTTCCAGTGTTCTTCCTCCACCATTAATACTGGCCGCCATGTATAACCTATCTTGTGCTGAAAATGGCGTTAAACCCTAGAACAACAACAACTAAGAATATTATTTTAGTCGAGTACTTTGTATTTCCAGTGAATATATAATTTAAATAATAAATTCAAGCCAACTGAAATAATGGATACAACAATAAGACTGATTTCTGCTTCAGATGTTAATGTAGGAATAAATTCTATGCAGTAAAAAAGATTTTATACACATCTACCTCACCTAGATTACAAGTAGCATTTTATGCACCCAAATAATAATAATAATAATAATAATAATAATAATAATAATAATAATAATAATAATAATAATAATAATAATAAACGAAAACAAAATAAAAAAGATTACCTAATGGAAACTTTCATTCTAGAAGTTTCCAAATGTTTAAAAGACAAATCTAAGTGACAATTACTATTACTAAATTGTAATACAGAACACGGTAAGCAAAATGTCCTTGACTAGGTTTAAGATAATAATCCTAAAACTTATCCTTCGGTCAGCAAAAGGAGAACAATGTTGTGTACAAAAATGTCACTGATTTTGGTCAACGTCAGCAATACAATTTTACATTACCCATGGCATATAATGAAAAAAAAAAACAAAAAAAAACAAAAACAAAAAAACAATGGAAATTAAATATAACAACACCCCACTAATCCTTTTCCGCATTAAGAGTGAGAGGTATCCAGACATCCATTAATTATATCGCCTGGGCACAAATCAGTTAGAACCGACGTCTGTCTTCGGCCGTGAGTCTGTCAAGGATATTTAATCTTGTAATACTGTCAGTAAAAAGAGATGTCACTCTTAATATTGACTTCAGTGGCGTTATTTAGCAGTTCGCAATGTTAAAAGCCCGGATAACTTACCGTCCTTAAGTTGCTGTGTAGACTATCTTTATTTTTGCGAACAAACAGACCATAAAAAAATTGATTTTGTTAACGTGTACGGTTTCTGTACATGTAACAGTACATGTTTAAGGCGAAATTATGGGGCCTAATGCGGAAATGACAGACTTGCATAAAATGGCGCTTGATTTTTTCGTGTGAATGTTAGAACTTAGATGACAGGAAAAGATCCACAATGGCATTAAAGTGCAGGAATATCGTTATCGCTTACCCCGCTGGTGGAGCTCTCTGCGCTCCATCAAACCCTCAAGCTAGTAGCACTAGCACCCTCCCAACAACCCTCCCGCAGCTTTGACCATTTGGGCCTCATATTCTGGCCCTTTGGGCCTCATATTCTGGCCCATTTGGGCCTCGTATTCTGGCCCTTTGGGCCTCGTATTCTGGCTATCATCGTTGCCTTGTTCACTCTTTTCGCCATTTGCAAGACTTATTCCGCCAGTGTATTTTGCCTTAGTATGAACTTTCTGGATGTAGACACAAGACTGGTTCTTCTGCATGTAGAATACACCCGATTGGCTGTTATACATATAGAAGAGACCCGCTTGGTTCTTCCATATTAGAATACACACAATTGGTTCTTCTGTATGTAGCAAGAAACGAATAAAATTTTAAGACCTAAAGAGTGCGGAGTCAGATCAACCCAGGTAGGCTACGGTGGTGTTTCCTTGGGAAAGGAACCTTACTTTCATTCCCATGGCACTAAATAAAGTAAATGTTTTGATCTGCCGTAAAACCTGAGTACTGGCATGAGACATCGTTTCATAATGAGAAAAGCGACAACGCGACAGAATTTCATACAATCAGTCCTAAGTCGTATCTCTGTGACATTTTTAAACTCAGTATAAAATTCGAACACTATTCTTTCACCAGGTACCATTTCAGTAGCGGCGCGAGATGGGGAGGCGTAGAAAAAAAAAAAAACAGCTATCACTTAACGCTAGGTGATGGGGGCTACCTGACTATTCATACAAATTTTTGGAGTGGTAGGGGGGACAGCATTTTACATAGCTAATATTTGTCCGTGATTTAATATTATATTTTAACATCATTATTACTTGAGAGCAAACATTTTTGCAGGTGTTGGGTCAAGGTTCACTTTTAGTTAAAAATTAAGATGGTTCTCGAGGAAAGCCGTTCACGAATTTGATACGAAAATATCCCTCAACTTGGCTCATTTATTGTGTTTTAGTTTTTAAAGATATGTTGCTTACTTTTGAAATACTTATTCCGGTCTTAAGCAGAATAAGTTTTAGTTGTGTTTCGGTTAATACTTTAGAGGATTTATTCATTAGATGGACCACATGCTCTTAGACTTTTCAGATTAAATCACCATTATGAAATTATTTTGAGTTCCTTCAAGGATATTTTGGATTATATCATTGTGATACATCAAGAATGTTGGCACATTAGCACATTCGAGACTAGAAAACATCAGCATATTCATAACTGGAATTAATTCGAAACACCGCTGGAATTCATTCGGAAATCTCTATACTTTTGAAATTTTGAAGGAACGTTTAGGATTATTTATGATTTAATTCACGATACCGTAAGTTCTTTTTATATTTTCACTTTGTATTCTAAGGAAATAAATTATTTGCTGAATTTTACAAAAAGTGTTGGTTTTTGTTGTTTTCTTTTACTTCGTTCAACACAATAGAGTGGTCACAGTATAATGGGAATCTATTTACTATTTCATGTATATGGTGTTTGGAAGTTGAAATAACGTCGTTCAATCTCATGAAAATATTATAAAATATACATATTTAGAACTGATGCGCTGATTTTACCTTTGAATAATATGTTGAGAATGGTAATTTTGTCTAGATTTAGGCGGAAATACGCCAAATTGACCGCTAATAATGAGTCTATATTTAGATCCTCATTTACGCATACCTTTCAATGTCAAGGACAGAAAAAGACTACACCCTCGCTCTAACATGTTACACCTCAGTTTATCTCTCCTGAACATCTTTTTTTAGAACGTGCTACATGTTAAACTCTTTGGATTAAATTTATAACATTTTGAACTTGAGAAATAACAGTATGTATGAGACGAGTGTACTGAAGCTCCATTGAAAATGATATCCATAAAAAAAAATCGGACTGTATATCGCAGATGGTTATTTCAGTTTTAAAGAACTAAATTTTGGGTTCAATTTGTGACACGTGATATTCGTGAAATCGTCATGGATTTCGACAATTTCGTTTCTGAAGAGGCCGATGCGCATAACGCCTTAATGCAGAATTTATGCAGCCTGCCATGCCAAATCGTTCAAAATGGACGAGCTGAAGAAATCGTCGGGTGAGGTAGAGAAGTGGGAATGAGAGGGAGAGTTGGAGAGCACGAGCTGGGGAGATAGTCGGGTTAGTTAGACAAGGCAAGCCTGATATATCCTATGATGAGGTGGGACTAGTGAACTATCAGAAAATCGTTTTCGCTGAAACCTGATCAAATTCGATGACTATTATTTTATATGGTGTATTCGGAAATCATACAGGGATGATTACACGACTGGCAAACAGAAAAATTAAAGTATATAATCCCAAGCAACCATATTTATTTGAGGTTTTGTGTCTATATAATTTATTGGTATGGTTTTTATTTACAGGTACATAATATAATGGCAGTCAACCGATGCGAACAGGAGATGTCGATAGTGTCTAATCTTACTCTCTGAGGTTACTTCCTGATAAAGTAAGACAGAAAATACATACCATGTTTAAAACTTATTTATTTTATTTTATGAATCGATTACTTCGAAATGAAGAACGTTACCTGTGTGTGCATGTGCGTTGTTCTTAATACAAGAGGGTAGTCACCGGCTAAGATCCTTTGCTTGAATTTTTGTCCACACATCTTTTTAGCATTGCCTTTACACTAGAAGAGTATCGTTCTAAGTTTGATTATATAGAAAAAGAATTACCGATAACGAAGGACCTTGAACTGTGTATACTTGATGAAGTAGGTCTAGCATTGATTTTCTTTTTCTATTTCGAAAATAAAAAAAATATTACAAAAAACTACTTCGATGGCTCGTTATCGCAATTGATCATGCTTTAAATGCATTCCTTTTTTTGCTTTCAGATATCTTTAAAAAAAACGAACGTATTAAGTTGAGCTTTGCCGTCCCTTCGTTTTTCCAATCCATTAGTACTATAGGGAAGCACTATGGAGGTGTTGATTGGGCATTTTGAGGACGTTGGGCTGTTTTTCGAGGTGACATCTTTATAGCGACCTCTCTAGGAAAGACCAATGAAAAACGCTCTAAAAGGCTGAATAGTTGACATCTGAAAATTATGTTATCTTTATGGAGGGAAATCAGGCTTAAGGATTGAAAGTTTCATTTGCTACAAGAGCTGTTGCGAGCTGATTTTTGAGTTGTAGAAATGATAACGTAGTATCGTAGTGTAGACAATTTGTACAGAAATACATGTACATTACCAGATCACATCCTGTATTTGACATAAGAATGACTAGTGTAAGAGTACTTAAAAATCACTATGCCACACCTAGTACTAAGAATGTGAACAACTCGCAAAACACACACACTGTTTGAAATAACGATGATTCTACTGTAGAGATGGCAGGTTATAGTTTACTCATTCGATCTTCATTTTTCGTTTAAGATCTGGAAAAGCTATGAGAATTTTGTCTGTTTAGTTGACGCTTGAGAAGCATCAAAGCCGTTCCAATTTATTTTAAAATTTTGAATTCAGTATTTTTAGTAATCCAATTTGCAAAGTTTAATAAATTAATCAAAATACAAAGAAGTAACTTAGAACTCTTCGTTGTACTACTCGAGTCTATAATGACTCAAACGTAATGTTATATTACCATAAATCACCAGTCCTAACTCTTAATGCAGAGTGTCTAGCGAGTCTGCTGTTAGTAGAAATTTTTTAAGTCAGTGGTATGACTCGGCCTGTGTAGATCGAAGCAGCGACCTCCCGCGTCCGAGGCGGACGTTCTAACCGCTAAGGCCACCGGAGTGGTCTCTACTAGTGTATAAGCAATGTTAAAAAAATAGTGTGTGTGGAAAATAAATTCAAGCAAGAAACATTGACCGAGATATTGATTTTATATTAAGAACAACGCGCGCACACACACACACACACACACACACACACACTATAAATAAGCTTCTAAAATATGTCTTAAATTGCTGTAAGTTCAGACAGAAAGGTGAGCCGTATAATATTTGCTGTTCGCATCGGTTGACTGCCACCAGATCTTTATACCAGTTTTGAATAGCATCCATGAACGACACTAACAAATTATATATATATAGACAAAAATTATTTGTTTGCTTGAAATTGTATGCTTTAATTTTCCTGTTTGCTACCGGTTGATTTCAGTGATAAGTATACGGTCAGTAAAGTAGATCGTATGTGTTTAAAGGTATTTGGTCTAAAAATTTTCTCTCGCCATTTCAATGTCGATTTCAGAAGAATGTACACTGACTTTATAACAACTCGACCTGCAAACACCAACGCCACCAATACATTAGTCAATTATGGTAGATTATATTAATTACAAAAAAGGAGTCATATGAATATAGCACATTCTAACAATCTTGTTATATTTTTAAGGACAATTGGAGCACATTTTTGGGTAATACATGCGGAGGAAATGTGAACCAAGTGCCTTTCTCGGGGATACACCAAGGCAGCGAACATGGACTGGTGGTATTTAAAAGCTAGTCCTATCCCAACCTCCATGTTAATAGCAAAAGTTCTTTTTTTGGGGGTCCATAACATCGCTGTTTCAAATCAAATGAAGTCAGAAATGTTGAACTCGCTACGTGTACTTTGATGGTATGCCAATCATAGTCCATTGTTATGGGATGACAAAAGCTCGTCATTTTCGTTTAAGCTATGTTTTGGGACGGAATGCGGTTTTAAGATGCATAAAGATAGAAAGAATCTGGCGGACAAAGCAGACAGTGTTAAAAGATATCGAATAAATATATTTTGGCCCTGTGGTATCTCCTGAGGGATGCCATTTACTCATCTTGCCTTTGGATGATAGAACATTGACAGTGACGTTGTCGTAAAACACCAAACCGTGTGAAACCAGACACTCCAATCCCTTCGGCAAGACTTAATCTTTCAAATAACGATATGCCTTTAAGAACTAACCAACCAACCAAACCATATTGGCGACTATATGGAGCAACCATAAAATGTACGCCGCACTAAATTAAACTTGAGAGAAGAAAAAAAGTGTGATATTGCACACGATTCATCGTCTATATAAAAAAGTTTCTGAAATTGGTAACAGTGTTAGATATACAGTTTGAAATATCCTTAGTAAAACAACGTCACTGAAGCGATCACATTGACTATTTTCAAAACCATTGTGTACTAGTTGTAAACATAAACAAATGCATCAAGTTAAAAAGCTGAAGCACTTCTAAGGTCGAAGTTGACTGAAACTAAAACTCGGTTGTAGTGACCTGCTTTTCGTATCGTTTATTTTCTTTTTAGACGGTTTCTCCAAAAACAAATTTTGATGAGTGCAAGTGAAATAGGGTTCAAACAATGCTTGAAAATATAAAAGTTACATAGGCGTGAAATTAGGTCACGATGATCTGTTTCTGGTATGGTTGAACTAATCTCTATAACACCCATCTATAAGATACTTTCTATGCGTGCAGCTTAAACATTATCCGATATAAGGACACTATTATTAAGAAACCACTGAAAATGGATGTTACTAGAGTGAAAAATAGCACAATGTGTCCTACTTTTCAAATCACGGAGTAATTCTTTTCTAAGATGTATCCATATACCAAGTTTGATCATGCTATATGTTTGCGGCATGATGCCACGGACCTAGATATCACTATAACTGCCACACTGCAGACATCGTAGCGATATGACTGAAAAATTGTTAAAGCTGCGTTAAAAATCATCATCACATCACATGACATCACCAATGTTGATGAGTGAAGGTGAAATACGGTGAATAGCAGTGCCGGTGTTACGAACAAACCTCTATATTAACAAATATTCTTCAAGATAATTAGACCATGTCTCAAAGTTATGTTATATTGGAATGAATCTTCTTTATCTGCCGCTGCATTCGAATTCGAATAAGTGTTAGTGAATAAGGGGCATTATGAATGAACATAACGAAGGAATGAACCGGTAAACTGTTAAATCCCTAAAAATTTGGCTACAATTTTTGCTTTGTACAAAGATTAGAGATTGTGAAAAACTGAGGTAAGTTCCATTCTTATAAGGTAAATTCTTTCTTAATAAACACCGAATGCTGAAGAAAAACTCTTGAACAGGAAATAGGCTATTTTACTTTACCAAATGACGGTTGTCTTCTTTCCATTTTTTTTTCTTATTTTTTACTGTCGGGATTGGGCAGCAGGCGTGATTGCAAATAATACACGACATGCTTAAATGCACGTATGTATTTGTTCAAAATTTTATTTCTGTAGATTTTGGAGACTTAAGGATCATTTTATATTGAAGAGGGATACTCATAAGGAAGAGTCTCATCCTTTATAAATATACTATGCACTAACTAGCTACCTACCTATGTAAATAAATAAATAAATAAGTAAATAATAAAAAGTAAATAAATAAATAAGTAAAAAAAAATAAATATGTAAATAAATAAATAAGTAAGTAATAAATTAATAAATAAATAAATTAGAAAGATCAAGAACAAATTGTAAGTATAATAATTAATATTTTTGAAAACGTACAACTGATTTTTCATGGTCGAGGAAATTACTAATATTAAAGAAATTAAAACGAAAGCATCCATAATATCAAGATTAATATTAAAGTGAATTTAAAACATGTTCAGTCAAATTACTTTATTGCATTCAATGCTAAATAAATGAAGCAAATTCTGTTCACCATGTGCTATATTGCGAATTCACCTTTATTCGTGAAATATACATTTTCCAGAATTTCGTGTTTTTTTTTTTTTTAAATCCATGCATTTAAAGACCTTAACAAAAAATCCGTCATTTAAATAAATATGACTTCTTCTATGCCGATGAATAAAAGCAAGAACTAAATTCGTTGTTTGTTTGTCTAAATCACGAATTTTAATACTCTTGGAAATAAAATGATTCACATGTATGGAAACTCAAGCGGTTCGAGTTTGCTAAGGAAAAATGGAGGAAAAGTCTTAAGCCTTTGTACCGTATATGCAAAGTACATTGTACCAGCTGAGGTCTTCCAGTGCAATTGTCTAGCTAAAGCCATAACAAATATTTGTCGCAAACTACGACTGTATCGGTATATCTGTTATGTTGTTGTTTTTGGGCTTAACGCCATTTTTCAGCACTTGAGAGGCTATTCATGGCGGCCAGTATTAATGGCGGAGGAAGAAACCGGGAAATCACCGGAAAGAACCCACCGACCCACGAGAAGCTACTGGCAAGCTTTCTCACATATCTGCATTCGCCGAATCCTAGACTCGAACACACGCAGACCGAGGTGAGATGGCAGTGATCCGTAACGGACAGCGCTTTAGACCACTTGGCCACTCGGCCCCTCTATCTGGTATGTATTTATAATAATAACTTGGTTGCGAAATTGGCTTTAATTTTAAACTCAAATGGCATTAGCTGGAGTCTTCCTAAATAATACCGTTTGCCCTTAGACACAAAGACACAAGGGGAAGGCCCGCATTTTTGCTGCACAAAATGCATATAGTTATGTGAACAGAATGGTCTGCAACTTGACCCAGAAACATGGTAGTGAACTCAATATATGTGCTGATGAACGCTCTACTGTGCAGTTCAAATGTACACAATACGACTCTGCTGAGAATGCATATGAGTCACAGGCTACAGGAACAACTTGTACTGTCAACCATTTTGGTATCACCTGAGTGAAATTTCCATTTCTTTACAACCAGAATTTCCAGTTCATATATACTTAACCTTAATTGCAGTAGAGGCGCGCTAGCCAAGGTTCCGATAACGTTATCTACACCTTGGCATATCGAGCTTCTGTGCTTCCTTGCTTCGGGATTAAAAATTTTATTGGCAAGCCACCACATCCAATCAAAATCACGTTGTTCAAATATAAACATTGTTCCTACGTGATTTAGACAAGGGGAACATGCAATTTAAACGGACTGATAAATAAGCAATTTTTCAGTACCGGTCCGTGTTTGCAGAAATACCTTTCACTCAAATAGACCTGTAATGGTTTTCCTCTAGTACATAGTTAAAAAAATTATGTTAAACTGACAAAGTATCGTGTTTAGATCAATTGCTACCACCGTTTTCAGCCGATGCATAATGCACCACGCTATTATTTAGGTGTTATTACATACTATAGGAGTTAATACATGAAATCCAATAGATGTCGCTAGGACAAAGCACCGATATAACTGTTCGATCCGCCAAAGTATAGACGTTGGTATCGTAAGCTTGGCTAGCAAATATGGGAGGGGCGAGACTTAAAACAGGAACAGTGCTCTTTTGTGGCTCCCCTACTTTGCTACAGTGAACAGTTACCCCTACTCTCCAAACCCGCTCATCCTAAATATAAAGTTTGTCAAAAATTCTTCATATTACAGTTTGGTAATGGTGAAAGACTGAAAAATTTATTTCAGCTTCCAGAAAGCAAATAAAAGAAATCCCGACTACCACCGTCCCATCCCACCTCACCCTGGTGCCCAGCGTAAATCCACTCAAGTCCGCTTTACAGTTTTATTAAACAATGTGCCACCATGTCAGAGCAAACTTGCGTAGTTTTAAAGTGAAATAACAACATCGTGATCTTTATTCCCGGTACTACAAGAGTAACAAGCGTTATAATTTCGAATTAGATATAATTAAAATAATATTACTGCAAATAATAGTGGGGAAAGGTGAACTATTTTGGCGTGTAAAACAACCACTCTAATCGAATATAACGGTCTGTGTTCTTATCTTAACTTGAACGTTTGAGGAACACAGTGGATACATTATACATCTGCAGACCATTGTTTGCCCTATTCATAACAGGATCC